GCTGAATTTAAAATCTTTAGCTCGCACGTGCATAGAGAATATCCCTGCAAAGTTTCAGCTTTCTACCTAGCCTGGTTTGCGAAATCGTTTCCAGCCAACATATTTCTTTGGGGGTCCCGTACGCGGGGTCTAGGCACGCATTGGGAAAGATCTTAAAACGTGAGTATGACACACGAGGTAGGAAAATATATCCAAAGTTTCAGCTTCCCAGCCTTCCTGTTCGCTGAGATGAAAGCGGGTGACAAAATACACTCGCTTTCCAAACACACACACATACAGACAGCCACTCGACAATATGCGTTTTTGCTGGCTGTAGCAGCGCCCCAGCGCATCACAGCAAAAATGCATAAAAAAAAGGAATTGCGTTAAAAGGTTAGGCAGTCAAAATAAACCCTCGTGTTAAACTGTAAAGCGATAACTATTCACTTTACTGACTGTCTGACTGCTTTATGTTTAGCGCAAAAACATATGATCGCACCGGCAAGCCTAATGTGTTACTACATAGATTTCTAAGTTGAAGCATGTCATTAGAGTGACAGACTTACCTACACACAAATACGTAGGGAGAGAGAGCTGTTGTAAAAAAGATAGGCAAAAAATGCATTTTTGCAGATGACGAAGAAGACAATGCAAGCAAACCCTCGAAGAGTAAGTCTGAAGTGATTATTTTTGGATGCATTAATTTGTTACACTTTCTACGGTTAGGTTGAGGTAATTACTGATTACGTATCACATCAAATATCTGCACGAAATGCGCGCATTTCTTTTAACCTAATCATGGAAGCCCTTTCAGTATTTAAATTAGGTGTGGGAGCCCGAAGAATCAACACACATACATCGAAGAGGCAGTGGGTACTACCCAAAAGTATGCTGCCTCAGATCGAAGAGCTTGGCAAATTCATGCTCCTGGGCATTCCACTAACACGGGATCTCAACACCGACTGTCCTGGCAACCTTGATAATTTTTCTATGGAAGCCCTGTCAGCATGCGTTTTCAAGGAGAGATACGCTTATACAGAGTTACAACTTTTAGAGAGCACGCAGCAGGTTAATCTTAAAAATTATATTTAACTCTTCTGAAAAACAGTGTCTGCAAACTGTATTGCTGTCTTATTAGAGACGTCCTCAAAAAGAAAGGAAGCAGCCTCTTGAATCACCTCTTTTCAATTACCTAGTGCAGTTTTCGGATTCTAGCTGAGGAATAACAACCGCCCAGATCGATGTTTGTTTGTGGCTTCCCTGTAATTTTGGAGTTTCATAGTCCAATTAGACTTGGTAATTTTGAAGAATTTTGCATCGTTCACCAAAATTCACCCTTTTCTAATGCAGGACAGAAAGCCGACGATAAGAAAGTTTCGTCGCCAACAACACCGTCGCCGGTGTCGTCCGAACCACAGGTTCCAAAGGCTCAGAAGCCGGATGGCGGCGCTCAACACGCTGGAGCAGCAGACCAAAATTACCAAGTAAGTTAGTTTACTGATAGGGCGGTAAGGGAAAGAAGTGCTACTATAACTTAAAGCTGTCAGACGAAACAATGCCGCGCCAGGGTATCCGCTACGATCATGCATTCTGCATGATTTCGTCGAGAGAACTTTTGCCTGCCAAAAATTTTACTATTTTGCCCTTTCGTTTGTGCAAATATAGTGGTCTGACTTCTAAGGTGCAGAATTTTCCACTTAAAATTCCACGTACCTGTATGTGAAAGCTGAATTTGAAACCAAAAATCACTTGGTTGTACGTGGCACTTCGACGTGCTTGGGAGCTATGTTTGAGTTTTTGAAATCTCTGCACAGGCAAAAAACACCCTCTTGGAGTTTCAAACTCACAGCTATTCTGATTCTCGAGAAAATGCCCACGCGAACGGAAAGGCTAAATTTAAACTTGCGAGGTTGCACGTGGGTGGGGACATACTACTAAAATTTCAGCCTTCTGGCTTTCGTACTCCCAAGTTGAAGTAACAGGACAAAATACACTCGGACAAACACATGCACACATATGCGCACATACACACACACACACACACACA